ATAAACTCTTTTTGCCTCGTATACAATATTTCCACATGTTTGCAAAATATGAAGAAATGAGGAGCTGCTCGACACGTGCACAGTTCTCCGTACTGTCTGCCTTTGGTGCATCGCTCTAAAAATCTCCACAATCCACCAAACTGTCTCTGGCTGGATGGTCTGTTACAAATAAAAGGCCAAGAAATATTATACAGTAACATTTAATCATGAAAAGGTCGAGTAGAGACCATAGAGGGACGAGTGTCCAATCAAACAAAGGGGCGCGATAGGAGGAAAATACGGCACACAGCTAAACCACAGTCTTTTAAAAAATAAAGTCAGTGCACAAATAATCTTACAAAGATTGCATAATATAAAGAAAGGTTATAAAATTTCCCAGAAATAGTGCAATTTTACCACCACCAGGAAAATAAAATAAAAGCTGCCCCAATGTCGATGCCAGTCATCTAAACGCTCCGCCGGAGAGGATTTTGGTTTTCGTCACGCGAACCGTTTTGAATGAAATGCTCTGCGGTCTGGAGGCAGGGCTCGGAGTGAAAAGAGAGCAGATGTTTCTGGATGGCTACATGTTACTGAGACACAACACACACATGCAAACAAACTCTTCATTGCACTTGGGAAAATGAATATAAAATGAGTTTCTATACAATAGTGTATATGGGACAGTCCAGAGAGGCCCACCTGTCGATACTCAGCACACACATTTAACTTAAAGCAGAGCCAGTGTTTCTACTCAGTCTGCAGACTAAAGGCTACATGTGTGCACAAACATACCCACAGGGCTTCAGTTTTCACATTTAATAAGGACATAATAGCAGAAATCCCACTCATTTCCTCCACTAAAGGTATATTTCAATGTTTCTTGTATGTAATACATCTTTACAAACACAGCTCTGACACTGAGCTCCTACTCACCTCCTGCATAAACACATGAAGGTAACTTATCCCTGACACCTCAAAAACAGAGTCACACACACGACCGGGCTCACATCCTCTGTGAGCTCAGATAATCCAACTGTGAGGACTGAGTTTGTGTTGCTGCACAACACTTCTGTTCCAGATATTTGATCCACCCCTGTGCCGGCACATCATTCTGCAACGCTCTCAAATTAAATAAAAATACACGTAGTCATGATCTGCAGAAAAATCTCCTTCCTGGCTGCATTTATGATCACTAAAGAAATAAAACAAACATCGTAAAAAGTGTCTTAAATTCCCTTTAACCCAAAATCCTCACACCTGAATGTCATGAAAGAATTACAATTTGTCAGTTTGCTGATAGGTAGTGCACCAACAATGTTACTCCCTGGTACAAATCTACTAGATCAGAGGTGTCAAACATAATGTGAAGATTAAAAGAAGCTTTACAGCTTGGACTGCGTTTTGTGCTTAAGAAAGTAGAGTCTGACTCGTCCAGTTCATCTGAGCCAGAGGTCACTTCACCGCCTTCTTCCTAAAGCTAGTTCTGCCCCCCAAACTAAACTATGCCTATAAAGTAAGGAGAGTTTTTCCTAAATATAAAGCAATTTGGCACCATTTTCCCTAAAAAAAAGAACATATTTTAAATCCTTCTCCTCTTTTCATGAAATGACTGAAATAACAAGGAAAGAGAGGTTTGTTAAGTAAGGTAGCATAGACTTCTTATCAGTGTATGTGGAGTAATTGTGCTTACATGCATCGTCACCACCTAAAGATCCCATTATGATCCAGGAGGAATCCTGGGAAAATGTGCATTTTTTTCCACTGTGCAAAAAGAAGAAACAAAGTAAAATTCTGGGAATTAACTAAAAGTTTCTGTTTTCATTACAGATCAAAGTCCAGGCA